GTTTTTTTTGTTGTTGTTCCCCCACTTCTGTGTGCATCTCTAGATTCGAAGTTGTTGGCTTTTGGTTTCACATGTATCAAATTTGTGAACTTTTGGATTCTGGGATTAGCCCTGTTTCAAAAAATATGATTGAGACAAGAACTAGATGAATTGGTGTCTGAGAAGTTTAGAGCTTTGGTTTATTGCATATATAAGACTCGAATTCTAATTTGTCTCTTCATTATGTGATTGTTAACTTTTTGTGTTACTGATGTTTAAGATTGTTCGCTGGTGTAGAATAAGAATGGAACGAGATGCAGAGACAAGTACTAGCAATGCCATTGTTGAGTCAACCTCTCAAGGGTCGGATTTAGATCCGATAGCTCGAGTGAGGAAGCTCTTGTTCCGCCAAATGCTCGTTGGAATCAAAGACGGGAGATTCTTCCTGGGCAATTTCCATTGCATTGACAAACAAGGAAACATAATTCTCCAAGACACTGTTGAGTATCGTAGCATAAGAAGATCGTCTCCTTCGCCTACCGAACAACGTTGTCTCGGTATGATCTTATTGTAGGACGTCTTGCCACGTCGATTGTTCTATCGAGGAACAGCTTTCGTTGGTTCAGTTGAAAGAGTAAAGCCTTACTTCAGTGTGAGAATCTCTCCATGTTTCATCAATGTGTAACCAATATTAGTGGTCTTATCATGGATTTGGTGTCTCTTCATTATGCGCAAAATCAAAACTTTATTCCATGTCCTTGTATTCGTATGATAAATGATTCACCTAATTTTGTGAAGAAAAAATGTATACATTTATTGGAAACCCTTTCGGAGTTTTTTTGTATTTACATTTAGAAGAGAGAAGTCTGAAACTTTTCACATTGTATTATCAACAACAACAACAATAGAAAAAGATGTTTTTTTCTTCAGAATCTGTCTCTGTAAGCTGTTCCATACACAATGAGGTAAGGTACAGTTCGGACAACTGTGTCGATAGGAATGGCAAAGTTCACACCGGAAGACATACCACTCCCTGCAATGCAAATTGCGGTCGCTTCAGTATCTACTCATGTCGAAAGATCAGAGTTTTGGTTATGTTCTTAGATTTGGTCAAAGGAAACGTTACCTTTGCGAGTGAATGTGGAAGTATTCACGCCTATCGTATGGCCATAAGAATCAATCAATGGCCCTCCAGAATTTCCTACATTACATAACGAAAAGTAACGATTTTTCAGAAAACAGAATGGAATGGGGAAAAATTGATAGATGTTTGTGAATTGTGAGTATACCTGAGTTAATATCAGCATCTGTTTGGATCGCTTCTCGAATACTCTTCCCATTAGGTGAAGGTATCTCTCTTCCCAATCCACTCACTACCTACAAATCCCCTTTCAAGCTGAAATGTTTAGACTTCAATGTGTATCAAAAAAATCTCAGGATCTTCTTACTCTTACCCCTATTGTCAAAGTGTTTTCATATCCATACGGATTACCAATCGCGAAGCAACTCTGACCAACGCGTAGATCATTAGAGGTACCGAGAACAACAGGTTTTAACTCGCGTCCCTCGGTCTCAATCTGGATATAGAAGATCAGTTAAAAGGACTTCACAAAAATGACTCAAACATCCATTGCCTTAGAATTCACCTTCAACACAGCAAGATCATTATCTGGATCCAGACCAACAATTTTCCCTTCTTTGGTAAATCTGATTCCCATTGTATCAACTAGAGACACCTACACGAAACCCCGAAACCGTAAACACGAAAACCA